AGGCACTAAAATCGAGGGTTTTTTTTTTTTTTAATAAGATAAGGGGGGGGGGGGGGGGGGGGGGGAATCACTTAGTCCTACTCAGGTACTAAGTTCTTTCTGAACAGAAACTGGTTTTGTTCAGTCTTTTCTGTATTCTCAGTTGTTTATGGAACATTATCTTCATTTTCAGAATGGGACTGAATAAATAACTATCCAGCTTATTCACACAAACACCCTGTTATACATAATACTGTGCACTTCAGGTATATAGATTGGTGCCAGGAGACTAGAAAGACAAAACCCGAGAGTACACTTGTAGAGAAGTCTGCAAGCTAATTTTTTCTGTGATTAGGTAGGTTTAAGAAAAGAGTAAGAAAAAGAGGATGTTAAAGTACTCAAGACATTCCAATCAATATGTGTCTGATCTTCTAAAAATGAAGCAGCCCTTTACATCTTTGAACACCAAAAAATCTGAATTAATAAAAATGAAACTATATAAAGTTTGTATAATTAAGTCTTTCCTGATTACTGTATTGTTTATTCCATCCTACTTCCTCCATACAGAATACTCTGTGACATCATCTTCTTACCTATTGTAGCTGCAATTACCAACACAGGAATAGCGATGGGAATCAAGCTATATAGTAGTTTGAGATCAGTAGACTGTGAGCAAGTGCTTTAGTTAGGGCAAAAGAAAACAATTCTACAGACAGCCAATCTTGTTTAATTTCCTACTGCAGTAAGACACATGAAAAGCATTCAGCTAACAAAACAATTCAAATCATCATTTAATTTCACTATGACTAGGATCCAAATAAGCTCTTAAGCATGTGTATAACTTTAAGCATGTGACATCAATAGGACCACTAGTGCTTAAGTTAAGCACAAGCTTGAGGTTGAGTGCTTTGCTGGGTCAGGGTCTATGAGAATAGCTGCCTTTACTGCAAATATGCTGTAAGAGTCCAATGCAAAATGTCTACAAATTTGACCCACTCATTGAATGAGTGTCTTTGACTACTCATTTAATAAGTATTGTGACACATGTGGGAGATAGCAAGTTATTCATCTGAGACACTTGCAGTGCCAAGTCATAAATGGAATGAGCTGCAGTACAGACAGAGTGCAAGCCATAAGTGTAGTTTTTCCATTTTTATTTTTATTTTTTTTTTTGTTACTACCTTAATACTGAAACCAGTCATTATTTCCTTCAGGATTTTATAAAATTTCCCTCCCTCCCGCCAAAAAAAGAAAATCTCTCTTATGGAAGTGATTATGAGAAACAAACAGTAAAGAATCTTTTGGGGGGTGGTTCTGATCTTTTCTTAAATGCACATATATATTTAAATATTGACAATGTGCAAAATAAGTATTCACCCATTAGCTAAGTTGCTTCTATAAGTGCCCAATCCTGCGCCCACTGAAGTCTGATCAAAGTTTTGCTATTGGATTTTTACTTCTGTGCAAACTTGATAGGCCCTTACATGAAACTACAGTACAACATGCATTTAGAAAGGTAAGAAAAGGCCTAAACAAATGCAGTTCCTGTTCAAAGGAAACCAACTACCTGTGCAAATCTAGCTGCAGTTTTCTCCAACCCTTTCTCAGCTGCATAAAACATTTCAGCTCAGTCCCTTGAAGTTGCAATTAAACTGTAGTAATTTAAGATTATCATAAGAGCAAAGGGCAGTAGAAGCTCTTCATGAGACCTCTCACCACTTAATGCTACTCAGTCTTGGGGTTAAATGAGCTTCTTTAGTATAAGTACCTTAAACCAACTGAATCGTAAACAAAATTTATACTATTTTCTGACAGCATATGATCTATTTAAATTTTATTAAAGCATCTCTGAGAAAATGTAGAAAGACAAAAGCACCATTAAAGTATAAATAACTGGACAGACTTGCTGAAATAACCATATTATAAATACAAATTCTACATGAATGCACATTTTACAATTTTACATATAACACACACCAGAAAAATATTTCATGAAGAAACTGTCATCCAATTCAAACAATCAATATAAATGGCCACAAGCCATAAGAATATTAAATACTTAACTGTATTCCATGGAAAAACCTTGCTGTTTACTACTAACCTTTCCCTTAATTTTTACAGTATCATGAAACAAAATGGATTTGAGAGGCTTACATGTTTATGGTATTCTCATAGTAATGATGTTAGTGCAAATTTAAGCTCTGTTAAACAGCGATCTTCCCTAATAAAATAGCATTGCACCACATTTGCAACACGACAGTGTTCAATGTACAATTCTTCACTTAACTCTTTTTCCTTCTCTTACCAGTATAAAAATCAGCTTGGTTACTATTACTATTCCTGGTGGAACTGATTTGAGAAAATATTTATAGCTATTAAACATTACATATTACCCAAAATGGCTTAATAGCATACATATGTATGTTTAACATGCATACTTTAATTAGACAATAAAAAGTATATGCTATAAAAAACTACTGGCTTTGCAATAAGTTGTGCAGCATGGTGATGAAACCTTGGCTTATAAAAAAAAGTATAAAGTGCTTATTGTGTGTCTGTACTGCTAATTAAAGAAATACTTAAATGATACAGGGTTTTTTTTTAAATCATGCAATACATGTTCACTTGTGTTTTCCTGTATACATTAACATCGCAGCTTTTTACTTAAGAATTTGAAAATCTCTATTTCCATTGTTTTAGGATATTTTATAGCAAGAAACTAGGTGGTGAATAACATTTGCAGAGTTTACACTGAAGTGTTTGAAGATGAATACAGAATCCTACAAAAGGTTTAAAGGAATATAAATATCTAATTTGATGAGTTGATACTTCGGTTGTGTTTTACTTTGAGAAAACCATAATACGCTATGCTGACATTTGGTACTACTTTCTTTAAACAAAAGTATAGTAATTAAGTTTATATAAAGTAGACTCAAAGGGACATGACACATTTTTTTGTAAAAATCAGGACATGGCCAAAACATGAAATCTCATAGTTTGATGCTATATTTAGAAAACTACCTTTTTGTTTTCTAAATTCCAAGAACTGAGTGAAACTAAAAATAAGGCAAAAAATAACAAAATTGTTCTAGTCCACATCAGAATAACACCTTCACACGCACACTTGGCTTCCTGACCATTCAGAAATTCTAACATTTCAGAGGTAAACTTCATAAAACTTTATTTTTTTGCTAACATGATGTTCGTGAACTTCTCTGCAATTCTAGGGAGCCTAAATAAAATAGAACTGTAAATCAACTTAAAACTGAATACAACACCGTCCCAAAGACTAATTAATTAACTCGTTCTGCAAGTTAATTATCAGAATCTGAAGAGGTAGGAAAACACTGAATTGAAATACTAGAAATGGTTTTTCTCAAAGTTATCTTTTGGTTTCACAACAAAGATCAGCATTTGTAATGGTCCATTTCTGGAGAAGTGAACATATAACCTTGCTGCCTGATCGAATAGTCCAGAGCTTTCAGTGAGGCAGCTCCTGACAACAGCCCAGCAGCAGATTTGTTTGATCTCTACTGCCTTCCTTAATCTGGGTTGTCAAGGTTCACTTGTTGGAGGCTGTTTACTTTACTTTTTTCAAAAAAGCGATTTTTTTTTTTCCTCCTCTCGCTCATACAATGACTAATCCAAAGACTAAGGGGAAAGAATGCTGCCAATGCAAGATGTTAAAGCTACACTACCTTTTTGCAATAAGATTTTAGCTGACACCTTTTGAATGGTGACTAGTGGAGATTCCTCCCCCACCCATCACCCCCATTTCATTCTATATAATTGTGCAATAGTTCAAATAAAATTTGGGGCAGGGAGGGGGATTTAGAACAGAGAACTTGAAACCAAAAGACCAAGTTTCCCCTCCTTCCCTTAAGCCCCTCAATCTGGGTTCAAAGATGCATAGTACACTTCCTCCTTGAGATCCACTTTGTTATTGTAGAACTCAAAATATTTGAAAACCTCTCATGCTTAACACGGAAGAACAACACAGGATTTGCCTTCTCAATCAGATAAATTGTAAAATACTATTAAGTATTTCAAACATCTATTTCTGTCCTCCAATAAAATTAAACCATAGACAACTACTACCTTAAGGAGTATGAGAAGTACATTTCTTGAAAGACATACTTACAAGTAACTATCTGCCTAGTTAAGAGAATGTAATTAGTTATACTGATGTTTTATAAGTCAGATAACCAAAGCAAATTCATAACAGAAAAAGCTAAATTTAAAACAAGTGTCATTTAAAGATTTTTTTAAAAATAGGTATAATTATTCAATACTCAAGGATTCAGAATCATCTACTGTACAGACACACTGTGCAAATACTGTACACATTACTCATTCACAGAACAGTTACTAAAAGTGAAACCCTAAACTCCTGATAGGATAGGAGATCAAGCCAGAACTCTCCACAGAAGTAGAATTCAGAAGCACTTGTAGCCGTTAAATGAAATGCTTGGTGGGAGCATTATGTCTGAAGAGTTGACACTGACAGTCATAATGTTTTTTAAAAAGTGCCATTTTAAGAGTTTTTTGGTTCACTGAAAGCAAAAAATTGTAAGACCAATGCCTAGAACGAAGGCAGGCTAAAAATCAATACACTTTGTAATCAACCCAGCAATGGTATTTAAACACAATGAGTTGGAAATAATTAATAGTTATAAAGTGGGATGGGGGAGGGAAAGGAAGCATGTCACTGTATTTTATAGCAGCACTTATACTGTTAGCTAAATTCTGATCCCATGTTTTCTTGTTTAAAAAAAAAAAAAGACAACTCCATGTTTAATACATCCTGCAGCATGTACTTTCCCCCTTCGGTTTCACTGACCTGAAATAAACGTTTCAGCCTGTAGCTTTTGTAAGCTGATCTGTACCCTTTATGATAGATGTTCCCCTGGTTTCTCTTTATTTGGGAGTTTGCTTTTGGAGTGGGGAAGTGTGTGTGTGAGGGGGGGGGTGTCCTTTATATCCTTATATGTAAAAGCCTCCGCCGATTTCCCTATACTTACCGGGAGATAGCAGTGAGAGAGGCTCTGAGTGAATGATCGCCAGTACACAGCTCCTCAGCAAAGGCTGCTGCTGCTCCGGCAGGCAAAACTTTGGGCTCTACGGTCGAGAAGAAACCAGGGGTTCTTTCAACAAGTCTCCAGAAGGCAGGTTTGGTCAGGGGGAGGAGGGGGGGGGGGAGAGAAAAGGTGCGGTGTTGAGGGGGGGGGGGGGAAAGAAGAGGAGCCGTGGAACACTTGCAAGAAACGGGATCAGGAAATAGATCTAAGGACTGAGTGGTAGTAACAGGATCTAAAGATCTCCCCTCATCGCCATTCAGCGGGGATCTGCGCTTGCAGAGTTGCACCCGGGGGCAAGTGGCAGGGTTGGGTCTGGAGTTGCAAATGTTTATTCAAACACTTCATCTCAGAAGAGGGAGGGGGGGGCAGGTTGGCAACGGAGCAGGCACCGAAGGCTGGGGACGATGCGCGGGGCTGGGCTCTGTGTGTGTGTGTGTGTGTTACACTGGCGGGGGTGCCCGGGAACGCCGGCCGCAGAGTCAGCTGGGCTGAGCGCTCTGGAAGCGACAACAGGTGGTAGTGGATGTGGAGGGGCGGGAGGCAGGACTGGCTCGGGCAGCGGCAGCAAGGCGGGGGGGAGTGAGGGGACTCCAGGTCCCCGTTGCGCTGGGGGGGAAAGAGGACAGCCGCTGGCCGCAACTTCTCCGCACGCTGCCTGGCCACTGCGCCGCGTGTGCGCAACTCCCGCGGGGCAGGGATCGCGCCCGCCGCCTCGCGGCAGCCCCGGCTCCCGGGGAAGAGCCGAGCCCAATCCTGGGGCCGCTCAGCGGCGCGGCCAGCCCCCTGCGTGCGCGTGGGCTGGGCTCGGGGCGGGGGTGTAACTGAGCGGGACCTTCCCCCCCCCCTCTCCCTCCGCCCCACGTCTGGAGGGTCCCCGGGGGAGCCCGCGCGCTCCTGCCCGGGGCGCCACTCCGCGGGAGCGCACCGCGGCGCGAGCGGCAGGCGAGCCCAGCCCCTGCGTGCGCGGAGGGGCGTGTGCGCCCCGGGCCCGTGCGCTGAAGTTCGCGGGGAGGGGGCAGAAGATGGATAAAAAGTTTCCAAAGTGAGAGCAGAAGGGGGGGGGGGGGGGGGGGTCCCCCCCCCCCCCCCCCCCCCCCCCCGGGGGGAGAGGCGTGTCCCCCCCCCCCCCGTCCCGGCACCAGCTCCCCGTCCCGGCTCGCCGCGCTCCCCCCGCGGGGCGCTGCGCTGGGGGTGGCTGGTGGAGCTGCTCCAGCGGCCAGCCCCAGAGGTGAAGGAGCCGCCGCCTCTCCCATTGCATCGGCTCTGATTTATGCAAACAGACCGGCGGCCAGCGCGCATCCCCCGCCAGCAGCCGGGGGGAGGGGGGCACGTGGAGGCTGGGGATGGGGGGGGGGGGGGGAGGGGTTAGGGGGCGGGGGGGGGGGGGAGAGAGAAAAGTGAAACAAACAAGAAGGCGCCTGAAAAGTGGAGGGGAAAAGCCGAAAAGCCCAACTCACCCGCTGGAGACGGCCTGTCGGTGCCCACTACGGGCTCCCCCCAGCGCGGGTGAGTCTGCCTGCCCGTCCCTCCCTGTACTCTAGCCGGGCAAGCCCCATGCGCCGAGCCTGGGCAGCAGGCACAGCGTGCCACAGCCGCACAATAAATAACAATAGAGCCCTCCGCTCGGGACTAGCTTCCAGGGGAGCCCAGCGCCTGGCAGGGCCAGCCCCGCTCCCAGCCCCCGCCGCTCCCGGCGCCTTGCGCGGCCACTCCGGAGTTTGGCGAGAGGGAGGAAGAAGGAGGCAAAGCTGGGGCTGGGGGGGGGGGGAGAAATAACACCCCCGCGGAGGGAGATGTTGTTATTTTTTGCTGTTATGAGTCTCTGACGTCACATCCACCTGCTGGGTAAACAACAAGGCTCGGTGCAAAGAAAAACACACACACACACTCACACACACACCGCTCGCAGTTGCAAAAGAGGCAGCGGAGCCGGGGGGCGCAGCCCAGCCAGGCGCGAGGGGGGCGAACCGGGGCACAAGGGTTGCGGCGGTGCAGCTCGGCTCCCGGGGGAGACGGGGACACAACCGAGCTGGGGCAAAGGGGGACGCTGGGGGGGCGAGCGAACTGTGGGCTGGGGCTTGTTCCCGTCCAGAGGCGAGAGCGGAGGGGAGAGGGGTCGGGGTGGGGGGAGAGATCTGGAGCGAGCGCCAGACTGAAAGTGCGAGTGTGTCGGAGGCAGCGCCGAAGCGAGAGGCTTCTCCCCTCTCGGGTTTTTCGGCACTTGCTCCAATGAAAGCCGGCGAGTTCGGGAGGTGAAAGTTCAGCCGAAGGACAAACCCCAGTGTGCAAGGAAACGGGCGTGTACCGCGAGCGAGTGTCTCCTTACAAAGGGCACGGAGCTAGGTTACACGCGCGCTGGGGCTGGGGTGAGTCCGGGCAAGGCGCCGCTGGGAGAAAGTGCCTTCAAATCGCGAGTCGCTTGTTTGTTTCCCTCCCCCTTCGCTGCTCCTTCTAGGAACAGGCTCAGAGTCTGGGGCGATGCGTTGTTTAACACAAGTTACCTGCTGTGGCAGAGATACCGGTCAGGAGGAAAGTGTTGAGGGTAGTTTACATCCAGTGCTCAGAAAAAGAAAAAAAAAAAGGTGATGAGATTTGTTAGTGTGTTGCAACCAGGCTTGAAGTTAAATCGCCTGAGAGAAATCCAATAAAGGAGGCAAGGGATGCTGAATAAATGCTGCTTTATTTCTAAAGTCTTAGCACTAAATTAACTCCCCTCCTTAAAAAAAAAAGGAAAAATAAAAGGGGATGGGGGAATAGGATGGGTACCACTGAAGATTCATATCACCAAGGCCATAGCAGTAAGTGGCTAGTTCATAGTATGTTGGCATTTCTTTCATTAATCCAGTTTGGAACAGTTAGGTTGCAGTCTTGCTGCTCACAAACCTCTGTGTTTTTTAAACACTTTTATTTAATATTAACCCATAACATGATCGAGGCCTTTCTTTAAAAAAAAAAAATGTATAACCCGTTTGAAAAGTAATAATTTTGCACTATCAATTATAATTCAGGGCCTTTTATGAGGCTCTCAAAGCACTTTGCAAAATATAATTAAGCCTCCCAACATCCCTGTAAGGTGGGGGGGAAATTACCCTGCTTTATGAATAGGTATGTGAGGCACAGAGAGACTACATTAACAGCCTAAAATCACACAACAAATCAGTAGTAAAGCCAGAAATAGAATCCAGAATTCCTGACACACACACACCCCAGTCTTATAAGGTCTAAGCACTCCCTCTCTACAGTGCTTAATATAAAGACCCACTTGCACAGCTCTATTGTTAATCAATAATATGTATAAAATAAACAATAAATATGTTCCTATTTTTACCAGTGCCAGGCAGAGGAAAGTAGGTGATTAGTAAACCAAAAGCCCACTCACTATTGCTGCATGACTTGAGACCTTACAGGATCTTGCCTCAGCAGCAGGAGCCTCAGCCTGCATTCCATGTTTAGAACAAAATTCCCATTGATCTCGGTAGGTGTTTTGACTGAGGAAGGACTGCGGGATTGGATCCTCAGTGTCCATCCAACCGATAATAATAAAACTCATCACTTCAGCAGCTTCATGGTAAAAATGTATTAAGTTAAAAAAAAAAAAGCTGAAATTTTTTAACTCACTCAATTGTTCCAAGTGTTAAAGACAGTATTACTAATACCTAATAGTGTTATGCCCAAGTACCATTTCGCTTATATGGTATGAACCACACTGGCATAAATGAAGAGAGTTAAAACATAGAACTGTAATTTTGCCATATTTATTCTATATCTGAGTGGCATTTTCTTTGTGGAGTTTAGTTGGACTCTTAGAACTACTGCTGTTCAGTTCAGTGATAGTTACTCCTATACAACCAACTGTTGTGTGTCTGACCTAGCATATGACACTGCAAAGTGTACAAGAGACCAACAAACTCCAAGCATGAAATGCTGGTCCCATTGAAATCAATGGCAGTTTTGCCAGGGACTTCAACAGGGCCAGGATTTCGCCCTAAGTGACAAATGGAGGAACTGACAGGCCCTACCCATTGGGTGGTGTTAGCAATCCCACTAGTTAAAATTATAAATGTAGAATTTTTCCTGCTAACCCCCCTACACAATCTCTCTTATACTTATTCTGTATGAAGAATGCCAATTGGTGTCTGATGTTTGAGAGGGCTGCATACAGAATGCCCCACAGAGATCAGTTGTGTAGACTGAAGATGAACATTTTACCCTTCCACTCTAAAATGTTCAGCTTACCCTGTGAGTAGCTACAATAAGTGATGTGTTGAAGCATCACACCCTTTCAGAAATAAAGATAATGGCCAGATTTGTAAAAGAAGGTGCTTAAAGCTAGGCTCCTAAATTTATATTTAGGTATCTAAATCAGTGGCCTCATTTTCAGAGGTGCTGAGGACCCAGAAACATCCAGTGTACTAGTGTGACAGCAATTCTGCAGCATTCTGTAAAGAACAATTTAGATGGCAATTTGATTCTAGGAATTATTGAGCAACATACTCGGTTAGCAGAAACTATTTTCTTTCAACTAAGTGGAAACTGTTAATAATCTCATTTTGTCCATTTCTTTGCTTTTTGGTAATTGCACTCACCCCATTTTTGGCTTTCAGCAGGTTTGAAACAAGGTTCTCACTAAATGTTGCTCTCTCTGATTTTGTATATTTCAGTGTCTAGTCAGCTGAAGTGGTGAAGAACTGCATGTCCATTTACTATATGTTAGTGGGGAACTTAACTGCTTCTTAACATATTGTTCATTTTCAACACTGTCACGTTGCATTCATATAGAGCACATTTTAATTTCTTGATCAGTAATCAAGTGGAAGTTTCTTCTTGGCAAATTAAAGCAGGAAGATTTTCACACAAAAGAAAGGGCATGGTAGTAGAACGCCACCTTTTGGCAGAAAAAGTAAATACTGTAGAAGCATATTTCGAAGATGCTTCTGATGTGCAATTACACTTTAAATTACACTAATGGCAAAGTACTTATGCCTAATTCATTATATTTTAAATAATTAAGAGGAAAATCATTGCAAATAAATATTTGCAAAGACAAAGATGGTTTAGCTGTACTTTAAGAGTAATCTTCAAAGAGAGTAAGTACATCATTTCATTATGTCATTGTATTACTAAATAGACTCAATTATCAAAAAGCAGCAACAAAATACTAGCCTTCACAATCTACCCCACCCACTTGACGTACAGTGGAATATGTTATAGATGTGTGTGACTGGAAGAGGCAGGTTACATTTTTGTTATATAATTAGGGTCTTTTTCACCTTTTTTCCATTTTACTTCATTGTTTTCTGATAGGAAACTACAGCAGGAGAAAATATATAGTGCAATTCTTAGACCATAGTTTGCACATAAATAGAAGCTATTTTTTCCTCTTACTGAAGTGCTTTAGAGGTATTTATGTTATACATTTAAACCCAGAATAAACTTTTGTTTATTGTAAACTTCTTGGCTCTTGTTTTTAACTATGCAAATTTAAATCAGTATATTAACTCTATAAAACGTGATTAATTCCATAGACACTAAGAGCAGTGGGACTTCTCCCTCCCCCTCCACCAAGGCAGGCTGCTAATTGCACTTGAATTGTTTACTGCTGTATTGTTTTACAAGTGCCTGGAGAAAGAGATGCTTGATATTCCCACCACCACCATGATTATCCCAGGAGCAAATGCTTGGCAGATTTTGGTAAGGGTGTACACACGCTATGACTACAGCTTGTTAGTAAAAAAGAAAAAAAATTATGGAGGTGATGACGCCTCTGTAATTATAGGTGTTACTGTTTTAAAGTCAGAATGTTTTCCAAGCTGCTCTAGCGCCACACCTCCAGCATCCCATGAGCAATGCCTCTTCAAATCCTTTCCATTTTAGTCACTGGTTTACGAGGATATACAGAATACATCAACAAGGCATTGTTGTACACAATGAGAAATGAACTGGAAACAAGTTAGGGCTTCCCTGCTTCTTACTTAGACACAAAGCACAAATGGACACCATGATATTATTGTCTCTGTCTATAGAGTATGAAAAGAAATGCAATATGGGACCTCAAAAAAAAAAAAAAAAAAAAAAAAAAAAAAAAAAGGCACATTGACAAATGAAATTTGTGGGTTTTGCAGCTTGTTTTATATTTTGTGGTTGTTTAAATCAATCATGCCACCATTCTAAGGAGGCATAATTAGAGCAGAGAACCCATGAGTAATCACATCCATTAATTTACAAGAAGATTTCTGCTGCAAAGAAAGTTTGATGTTGGCCATCACTCCAATTCTAAGTATAAAACAAGCGAATGTGAAGAAAGTCAGATCCTTATGACAATAGACACTGTTCAAAAGACAGAAGATGCAATCTTGCCTGTCAGACTAGGTTTATGAGAGAAGGTAAATAAGGCCAGACATTTCTTTGGCCCAGCTAATTTCTGGAAGGCTCAGCTTTGTGATCCAAGTGGTGATAAGTTTTACAAAGGCATAAAAACCTACACTAAGGGCCTGATCCTGCCCCAAGTGACGCCATTGGCAACATCCCCATTGACTTCAATGGGGGCAATATTCATTTTAATATGGGGAAGCAGGTTGGGG